CTTTCCTCCCCACCTCTGGATGCACTACAATGCAAGAAATGCTTGTCAGGCCTCAGCCTTGATGAACAGCACCTTGTCGCAGCTTTTCTTGGGCTTATCAGAAACACTGTCTGCTCCCAGGAACTCATGCTGTCTAATCAGCTCCTGCTTTTCAACAAACAACCTTGGAAACTTACTTTTCTGGCCTGAATATCAACCCAAGTGTATATTTTCTTTGAAAGCTCAATAGAAAAAAAAAAAACAAGAATTGTAGCCAGGATGGAAAATTACTGTGGCTAAAGCCAACCCTCTTGTGACCCTACAAAGTGCAGTCCTACGTGAGACCCTTTGAGCTCTCCAGGACTGCAGTGGGCTGTGAACTGTGGGCTCTCAGAGCTCTCAGACTTTCAAGTCTGCTTCCCAGTTGTTCCTTCCAGAACTTGCCCTTCTACCATCTCCAAAGTTCACACCTCACCTCTCTGAGCCTTGCCCTGTGCTCAGGGCTCCCTGGTGCATTCATTCCTAACGCCTCCATCTCAAACTCAAACACAAACACATCAGGAATTTGACCTCACATAATGGTGAGGCTCCTATGAGCCAAGTGATGACTCACTTGTCTCCCCCTCTGTACAGTAAAACAGTCCCATGGTTGTAAAATATGATCAGGATCTCTACCTTTTTTGATAGCCATGTTGGGTGATACTGATATTGCTCAGTGGGCGGAGTAAGGCAGTTTACCAGTTCACTGGAATAACATCCTTGAGACTTAAAATGTAATTCAAAACTGGAATTTGCCCTTCAGTTTTCATTTGGCTTCCCTGTTTTGCAACTGCCTAGTCCAGAGGCACAAGCTGCAGCCAACTATGTACACAGGTATCTTGTGCAGTGCACAGAGCCATATCAGAGCTGCCTGCAGGTGTGATTCCAGGAGCTGTGTGCAATGTGTTATTGCTGCCTGTGGCAGTAGCTGTGCCTTGGGATGGCATCCCCATGCTGCCACTTGTCTCCATGGATATCCTGGACTCTTCTGTCACTGCAGACCCAGTGTGAACATGGCCTTCTGTGTCCCCTGCACTGTGCTGGAAGGGACTGGATGCCCCTAAAACACCAGGCTACGCTGGCCCCATGCTCAGAGCAGGGTGAGGACCCTCTGTGCAGGGGAGTACTGCAGCTGCTGTGTTAGACTGTACAGTCCTGCATGAGCTAACCGGTAGGTTCCTTGATGTTATTTAGATTTCCTAAACCAAAACTGAAATCATTGCATTCTAAGGATTCATGTTAGTTGGGTTCAAGGACAGATGAAGTGACCAGTCTGTAGGTACCTACATGTGAAAAGGGTTTGTGCTTTAATAGGTAACACAGCAGTGAGATCCTATGCCCGGCAGGTGAAGCAGCTTATCCTCTCTAGAATTAAGGCATTAGCAGGTGAAACTCCTCCCTGTGCAGGTGGGCAGCCAGGGAGTGGAGGGTGCTGCCCTACATATGCCTTGTGAGTGTAGACTGATGACCATCTGCACCCCGTGGCAAAAACTAGTCAGTGTAATTCAGTCTGTTCTGTTCAAAGGGAGAAGAGGCTGGAGGAAAATGCTTATAGCCAACTATGGCAACAGGAGAAAAAATACTTCTGAAAGTCTACAGTATATGGTCCCCTAATACTCTTTTTTTCTCTTTTTATTTTTCATTATATTTATTAGTTTCTTCATAAATTACTTCAACAATGCAAAAGCCCTCCCTTGCTCATCCAGAAATAAATCACTTGTGTCTCTTCCCCACTGGTGGAGCACCCACCTCCCTGCACCTACACCAAAGCCAGTCCACTTGCACAAGCACTCAAGTGCTAAGCAGGGGTGCTTGCTGCTTTGATCCCAAGGTCCCTCCTAATAACACCAGTCTCCCCCATGGTCCCAACCTGCAAGACAAGAGGTGGGACATGGCCCAGCTCATCTTAGCTGGTGGCTCTCTCTCGCTGCATGTCAAAACCAGGTGAAGAAAGCTTACTGCTGAGGCAAGTGCACACCTGCTTCTGCAGCAGTCCAGATATGGGCGTGGCCACAGACAGCAAGAAAATGAACGAGGTCAAACACCCAGCTTGCACTTGTTAGCGCTGAGGCTGTGTTTGTACCCCTCATTACAAAAAGCCCTCTTGTCCAAAGGGGACATGGGAGACATGAAGCAGACTGGACATAGGCTGTGAAGCTTTCCTGTCTTCCTGAGGGAAGAAAAATTACTTTCACAGAAGCTAATTCACTTGTTAGGTACTGCATGTTCACACCAAATTTGCAATAAGATCCATGACAAAGGCTCCAAGATGTGATTATAATACATAAAAAAAACTATCAATAGTAGCAAATCAGAGAAAAGGATGAGACCATTCTCTCGAATTCATATGCCTGAACCTGATAACTCTTCATTTTGTTTTTTCCCCTGTTGCTAAGCTCAAGGAAAACCACAGCCCTTCCCTCTAAATTACTCTGGAGAAATCAAAGGTCACATTCTTCCATCTTTTCAGTGTGTGACTGAACATGTCAGGCTGTTTCCTTTCTAGCAATTAATACTCCTGCAGCTCGGAAGCCGCTCCCTACTCCCTCACCAGGATGCATACAGGTGTTTAATAGCAAGCAAATACAGACACACTGTGGTTTCTTTCTGGCTTTGTCTGCGTGCTGCTTGGTCACTCAAACTGCACCGAGGTTGGTAACATCCACTCCCCTACTAAATACAGCGTTTAGTTCGCCCGGTCTTTGAACGAAGTACATCTCTCCAAACCCTGTCAGGAAACACCTTTGTACCTAAATGTACATAAATACAATATGGTTTTAAACAGCCGGGCAGCTCCAGCTGTCGGGGGCGATTACAGCTCAGCAGGGCGGCCAAGCTCACGCGACTTCAGCCCAAGTGTAAATCCCATTGGAATTAAGCTCTGCCCGAGGCTGGTTTGCAGGCTTTCGTGCAAACGTTTTCCTGGCGAACTCCGGGTAACACACATATCTTCCGAGCTGCCGGCAAGGGCATTACGGTAACTACGTCTGATCTCCTAAATGCTTGCCGGAGCTCTCACCCAGGGCTCTCCGTCGCCTTCGACGGATGATTTCATTAGGACACAGCCCAAGGCGTCCTGGGACAGCCCTCCGGGTCTCGGAGGAACCGCTTCGTGTATCAGCTCCCTCAACACGGAAGAGCGAGGCAGCCCGCTGCCTTACCCCACCCCGGCGCTCTCCCAGCCGTGCCCGAGGCAGGGCAGTACGGGGACGGCAGCAGCACCGACCCGAGCGGCGCTGGCCCCCGTCCTGCCGCCTGCGGGAACAGCCGCTCCGCTGGGGAAGCGGCGGAGCCCTTTCCTGACCCCCGTCCCTGGCCCCAGCCCTGGCCCTGGCCCGTCCCCGCCCCAGCAGCCTCGCTACCACCAGCGCCCGGCGCCCCGCCCCTTCCCTGCCTACTGCTGCGCCCGCCCATTGGCTGCCTCCTCAGCCCCGCCCCGCTCCTCCTCCGCCATTGGACGGACGCTGCTTCTCGCTCGCGCCCCTTCCTCGGCCTCGCGCTGTGATTGGCTAGCTATTCCACTCCCCTTCACTCTCCGTCCCATCTCTGTCAAGTGATTGGGCGACGCTCACACCCTGGCTCCGCCTCTCCACGGGCGTTCCGCTTTGCGATTGGGCTAGCCTCTCCCTCCGCCTTGCTCCCCTGGCACTCGGGTGCTGCGCGGGCTCTCCCTGGGCCGCGGCCGCCCGCCTCGCAGGCGCGCCGGCGCGTCCGGGCGGGGCCCGGCCCCTCGCGTGACGCCCGCACCGGCCATTGGGGGAGCGCGGGTCGCGCTTCCGGTGCGGCGCGGCCCGGCCGGGCGGGGGCGGCGGAGCGGGCGCGGCGGGGCCAGCGCGATGGAGCGGCCCGAGCGGCCCCGCGCCAACGGCTGCGGCGGCGGCGGCGCCCACGGCGCGCTCCGCAACGGTTTCGTGCGCAGCCCGCCCGGTACCCAGGTGTGCGCCGGGAAGGGGGGGCGCCGGGGCGGGCGGGGAGCGCGGCGGAGGGGCCCTGGAAGGCACCGAGGTGTGGCTGTGAGGGATGTCGGCAGAACCCAGGTGTTTTGCGTCGTGGGCCCTCTCCTGGGGAGGGAGGGAGGGCAGCGCCCCGGGGGTGCTCACCGCGCTGGTGGCGGCGTGGGATATGACTGTCCTTCGAGTCACGGCTGTAACTTTACTGCAAGGCTTTGAACTTAAACCTCGCTATAGCACAGTAGGGCTGCGGTTTGAGAAGAAAAGGTTTTATTAGTTCTTCACCACTGGTGCGTTGTTGCAGGTGCGACGCGGGGGGCTGTGGGTCCAAGTAGGCTAGAGCAGGGACTTCCCTAGAAGTCTAGGGAAGAAGACTCTAGAGCAGAGCTGGAGGTTGATGCAGCACTTCCCATCTGAATGTATTAACACCCTGTGATGCAAATGTGTATTTGCTTGCAGACTTCAATTCTTTCTTTGCAAAGCACTCGAGTTTTGTGTTACAGTGTGAGGAACTTAAAGGTTGCTATGAAGTCCGCCTCAGTAGAAGGCAGTAGGTTGTATTTCCGTGAACACCTCAAGCTGCTTGAGAAAAGCCTTCTTCTGTCATCGTCTCTCCTGCTGCTTCTGTTCTTCAGTCTTCTGCTGTCCCTTCTATTTTTTCAGTGTAGGCTTGTGCACTCACTGTGTGAACGGGGTTGAGAATTGATGCAGGGTAAAATGAATCTTTTTTTCCCCTGAGTTATCTTTGACTACTTACTGTATTTCTTTGACTGGATGGATGCTCGTAGTCTTGCCCTGGCCTTTGGGAGATCCAGCACAATACTGGAAGTGAACAAACGGAGGGAGGTATAGTACCTTCATTTGGCAGCAGTGTCAGCTTGTACTGGTTTGGGGAGCCATGGCTTTGGTAGTCCTGCCTTGCAGACACCAAGCACTGCTGGCTATAAAACCTTACATGTAAATCTTTATAATATCACAAAACGTGGTGAAGGTGAGTGTTCTTCTGTGAGTGTTTTTCCCCACTCTGTGCTATCTAAAGAAGAAGGTCTGCATACAGTTATATTCTTCTACTTCAGAAGAGGAGAAAGTAGGGTAGGATAAAAAGCGTTTTGCTCAAGGACTTTGTTCACCTGTGTGTCTGGAAAACATGGGTGGTGCAACATGTGAATGGGGAAAACCATAGATGTCAAACTGAGGAAGCTTAAAAACCTTGCTGGTTTATGAGATGTTCTGTTCACTTAGTAACTTATACTATGCTCAGATATGTTTTGGAGACCTGAGACTTTTGAGATAACTATTTCTAAAGTGGGTCAGGGTTCACTGGAGAAGTGGTCATGAGAAATCTTACCAAAAAACCAAAGTGCAGCAGCACTGTCAGAGGATATAAGAAGAGTGTAGGAAAGTTTGGTATCTTTCTAGCAGATGCTTGCTGCTCAAACAGAGGTTTATAATTAGGAGTATTACATTCTTATCTCCATAATTTTATGCTGGCTAACTTTATGCTAACTTTCAAAGTGAGGGTCTGAATGTTAGAACTGGACTGGAAGAAGCAACTGTTTAGGAAAATTAATTGTGTCCAGCTTTCTCACATAAACAGTGATGGTAAGCTGCCAAAAGAGGTGTTTGCTGATATGTCACAGATTTGGATGCTTGCTTGGTGTTTTGCCTTTTCACTTGTGTTTTTTGGACCTTTCTACACAAGGAGAGAAACATGTGAATGCTCACTTTGTGTTGAATATATTTGTCTGTGTCTGTATATACTACGTGCATACCACATATAGCACTTGAGAATCTGCAACTGTAAGCAAGTACCAAAAAGGAGGTGGCTTACACAAAAGAATGTGATTGTTACTTAGTAGGGAAAAAAAAACAAACAGAAAAGTAAGGATGAAGAAAAGAAGTTTTTCAAGAAAGTCTTTCACAGGTTTTGTGCAAGAAATAAGAGGCAAAATGAGATCTAGCTAAAATGATGGGAAGAGGAGGGGCAAGGAAAACTGTCAGTTAAAAGAAATGTTGCAGTCATTGACAATTTCTCTGGAAAATCATGGATCTTCTGAGAGGAGAGCTTAGAGATAGGGTAGTGCATTACCATGCCCTCCATTAGGGCTTGATAGTGCAGGAAAGCTTTACCAGTTTTTAACTGTGTTGAAAAAAAGGAGTCCTCTTCCACCTAGGATGTTTCTGCACAGGTTATCTATTTAAGTATTGGGGTTTTTTAATTCTTGATTTGTTTGTTTATGTTGCTCTGGGGCTTTTTATCCTTAAAAAAAAAAAAGGCTTAAATTCAAACACTGCCTGATGATACTGCCTCCAGTAAGGGTGATATTTGACATATAGAGGGTTCTTTACTGTTACTCCAGCATGAACAGAAGAGGGTGAAATTGTTTGCTTAATTTTCGAAGAGGTTGTATTTTTCTCCTTCTGAACTGCTAAACCTCTTTGGTAAGAGGAGAGGGAAACTTGCTGCCTACTAAAACTGTGCAGTTACAGACTTTGGCTACCTTGGAGATTAATGAAATATCATCAGTGACTAGGAAAGTGACCACTTGAAGTTAAGGGTCCGGCATAGTAAAAACATTCTGATGAAATACTAAGGTAAATAACCAAGATAGCTCTTGGCTTTCACGAGATGTCTTGTGTTCAAATTACTTGACTCCTGCTTGAAGTTAATCTGTTTAGAGATTGTTGCATTCGCTGAATTTCAGTTTCAATCTCAGTATAAACATGTTAATTAAAAGAGGTTGGAGAACCGTATAGAAATTAAAAATTGTGGAATGTTGGAGAAAAGTTACTTTTTTCTGTTCCTTACTGTACAGTTAAGGGAGTTTATGGTCAGAAAGAATAGTAATTTATGGATGGACTTAAAATTGATTTAGAACTCTGGTGTACTACTGCACTATGTAAGATAAAAGCCTGACATCTCAAAGGGTATTGTCATGATGTGAGGAATTGAACATAGATAGGAGAAAGACAGCAAATCTTAGTAAAAGAGATGTGAAGTTACCTCTTCAAGTTGTGCATGATTCTGCTTTTTATGCCCTTCTGCTCTTTTGGGGAAAGTGTTGAGTTCAATATAAAAATGGTGTTTAGGAGCTATCAAGACACTTGTAGGAATAAGTGGGTGGAAATGGCTTTTACTTTCTGCAATGCAATTTTAAACTGGAATGTATTTCTCCATTGCAACGTTTTGCAAATGACTAAAGGTTTTCCAATGCTGCATCTGAAAAGATTTTTCTTGATTAGAATAGGGAGATTGGGACATCTTTAATGAGAGAAAATGCCCTTATTTTCCAAGATAATATATTTGAATCCACCTGTTACTGTGAACAAATTCTTAGTAGTGTGATTTTTTTTTTTCTTCTTAATTTGGCTTCTCATATTAGAATGGTTCTGTTGTGCTTCTAGAAGTTAAAGAAGTAGTCTCAACCTGAAAAAATAAAATTGGAATATAGGTTTTAGATACCAAGTTCTTAATTTCTGTTGTGTGTAGTGTCTCCAAGTCAGTTAGATAGGAGCTGTAATTAGATAAACAAATTTTAATTTCCCTGATGTTTCTAGAAGGTTTTCAAGCACCATCCTATAGCAACTTCCAGATAACATACATGCCTTTGTAACCAAGGTCTTGTACTGCTTCCTCAGAAAGACAAGGAATAGTTTGCTTGAGAAAAGTGGGAGGACTGTGGGATTTGCATTCCTTTAAGACTGTCACAAGTCCTGAATCCTAACAGCTATTAAAATGGCCAGCCTAGATATTTCATTCCTGGAAGCTTTGGTGTGGACATACAGAAAACAGTTTTCGTAGTGTGGTTTGTGCTTGGTCTTCTTAAATAGAGCAAACTGCTTATTGGTTCATCTTGTGGGATGCTTCAGAATGCAGGGGAACAATGGCTTCATGTTGATTTTTAAGATGTTTTTGCTGGAATTCAGGTTAGTATAGTTTCCTTTGGAGATCACACTTAAGATGACTGCAGCAGATACTGCAAGTTCTTCTTGCTACAAGTGATTTAGTGGTAGCAGTGATGTGGAACTTCTTTCAGATGAAAGTTAGGATAAGATAAATGTATTAAATAACTACCCTATCCACTGGTGCAAAAAGGAATTGGACTACAGAATTGTGAGATGTTTTTTACATCTGTGTGCAAATTTAAAATTCAAGTATTTCTGACAGGGAAAAAATGATCCTGGGAATCTAAATCTCATTAACTTCTTCATGAAGAAGTGGTTGTTCCTCCTTACTCAGCGTCTTGCAAATGGTGTCCAGTTTTGAGCTCCCCAGAAAGATGCTGACATAACCACATCAATCTGTGAGTCCAGTGGAGGGTCCCCAGGAAATGAGAGGCTGTGAGAGCTGAGTTTGCTCAACCTTCGGAAGAGAGAAGGCTTAACTAGCTGGCTGCAGGATATAGAGAAAATGGGACCAGGCTCTTGGAAGTGTGTGGCAGTAGTATGAGAGGTAACACATGTGATTTGGAGGAATGGGAAATTGTGGTGCACATTAGGAAAATAATTTTTCCCACGAGGGTGGTAAAATACTGAAAGAAGAGGTTCTGGAATCTCCAACCATGGAGGAGTTCAAGAAGTTCAAGACTCTTGAACGGGGCCCTTGGCAACCTGTTGACTTGGACCTTGGACACAATGGAAGACCTTTCCAACCTTGGTTATTCCGTGCTTAGATGAAGTCACGGACTGCAGGAGAGTTTGTCCAGGTTTAGACATTAACATTTAATCCCCAAAACCCTGTGAAAATGTGTGCCTTAGGGCTCATAGTAGGTACTCTGAGGAAAGGAATTACTACTTTCTGGCTCTTGCTTGGTTTTATGATTGACTGTGTTTATTGTGTCAGTAACACAAAGCTGAAGTGAGGAGAAAGTTGTCTGATCTAAAAAAGACTGCAACCTTGTTCAGATATTTTAATTGACAAAACTTTTATTTTTTAAGAAGTGTAGCTGTGCACAACAGTCTTTTTCTAGTACCAAATTCAGTTA